GACGCCGGTCAGTCGATGTAGTTAGGTGTCTAGTTTAAAATAAAACAAACCCGAACTCTCCAGCTTGAAGTATATTAAAAAATCTTGGGACGCCGTTCAGGGTGCTTTTTGGACCTTGATCTCTGGAAAACTCCTAAACCGTAAGACTTGGAAACAAAAAAAACTTTTCATTCCCGTAACTCATTGTGCCGAACATTTACGGAAAGTTTCGTCGAGGTCGGATGTACGGTGCCGGAGATAATTTCTGAGGGGGCTTTTAAAATGTTCAGCTAGTGATCGTCTTACATGGATTGCCAAGTCTCTAATAATTCTTACAATAGCATTATAAGAATCCCGTGAGCATTCATGGTAGTGTGTATGAACGACGTGATCCCAAATTCATACGGTTACAATATTCTTACAATTCTAATGTGGGTGAACTGTAAGAACTATGAATTCTACCCCGTTGCTCCGAGCCTCAATGAATTGCGTAATTCTTCAAGACTACTCGTAGTCGCATTTCGATAACCCCTACAAGTCCTACAATTCCAGAATTATTACGATTCTTCATAGAATTGTAAGAATTATGGAATTGCGAATGATAGAGCTGTAAGAATTGTAAACTTTAGAATTATCGAGTTTGCCTAGGTTAAATGAATTGTAAGGACTGCGTTGCTGTGAGAGATAGAAACGGATTTTTTCGGGTACGCACCAGAGACCGAAACGAATAAGAAAATCTCGATCCAGATTCGATTCGACTGACTACATATTCGATTCGATCCGACTCAGATCGAACAGAAGCGATCTGTCAATTTTCTCCAGTGATACGTATTTCGCTCTCACAGAAAAGACCCTTTTGTATTCTTGGGTGTATCCTGATGAAAACTTGTCCATAGAGAACAGTGAAATATCAAACTACTATAATAGATGTATTATATGAGCACGATCACAACGAATGCCTGTTCTACGAAATTAATAATGTCATGGGTCTTCACTCTGAGTCACCCAGTGCTTTATCAATTCTTTCCTTTGTGTGAGAAGACGCATACTAGGAATAGAAGTGAATTAAGTTGTTCAAACTGTTTCCATTTCCGTCTCAGTCCGGACCTTAGTCGCCACCACTTGTTCTTGGCTGGATAGCTCGGTCGGATTCTAGTCCGGAAGCCTCAAACTTCGATCTAGAATCAAAGTTTTATTAAAAAGTGGTAGTTCTTCGAGTGCTTTTCAACTTAGTGGGATTGCTACATACACACGCACTTGTGTCATAACGAAGGGATGGTTCTTTTTAATCTTGACAAAAGCAAATAAAAAAAACGGATGATAATAAGGCATATATCCTTCTGGAAAAAAATAGCTGTCGTCTGTATTTTAACTAAATCATTACCATAAAAACGTATTTAAAAGAAAATAATGATATATTCTGAAAGCGCGTGGAGTTCTCTATCACCCTGTATGTGTATATCTTGACTTGTACTTATTCGTTGAAAAATAAATTGAGTGCAATGAAGGCACCCTCATCGTCAGATTCCCAACGAATGCCTTTTGTGACTGGCTTTTTCATTCCTTTTAAAATTTATCATCACTATAGAAATAGCTTTTTATAAAAGTAAATATGTATTCTAATAGCTATTGACATTCTCTATCACTCTATATATTTATCTTTTGTCTTGCATTTGTTTGCTGAAAAATAAATTGAGCACACTGAGCGTACCTCAAATTGGCAAGTACCAAAAAAACTGCATTTTTTCGCTACTTTTTCTTTCTTTTTTTAAAATTGTAGTTACTATAAAAAATTGGTTATTATAAAAGTAAATATATATTCTGATAGCGCTTGAAATTCTCTATCATCCTATGTATTTATGTCGTGTCTTGTATTTATTTGCTATGGTAAATAAATGCAAGACAAGACATAAATACATAGGATGATAGAGAATTTCAAGCGCTATCAAAATATATATTTACTTTTTTAAAAGCTATTTCTATAGTGGTGATAAATTTCAAAAAACTTGAAAGGATAGTAACAAAATGCAGTCATTGAGAATCTGACGATGCAGGTGCTTTCATTGCACTAAACTTATTTTTCAGCCAATAAGTACGAGTTAAGACATAAATATACAGGGTGATAGAGAATTTCGAGTGCTATAGGAATATGGGATTGCTTTTGTAAAAGTATGTCTTTATAAGAAAAATATCTTGAAAAAACTGAAGGCAACTATTTTTTTCCAGGAGATGGCATCGTCCTATATTGATGTTGTACTGAGAAACATAGAGAGAAACATCATGAGTCATGTGCAGACGAAGGTAAAGAGAAAAAAGAATCATTCGTGATCTCAACTAGGCAAATGAATATGTCGTAGAAAGAAGAAAAGTCGAATTAATGACCTCCGAATCAGAAGTGTGCGGTCCACGGGCTGACCCATCGATACCTGCGGGTGGGAAAATATTTTTTGAGATGTACGGTGATCGGCGGGACACGTGAGAGATCTGGCACGGCTCGATGCGGGGCAGGACTTTGAATGGAATGAGACGTGGCGGGCGGGGCACGAAATTTTTCCACAAGACCACACTTCAAGACGACGACAGAGATAATCCACCGCTATTTTGGAAAGAATATGAGTGGTGCATTAATATTAGCATTGATTAATACTAATAGTAATGCTTGTGCATTACTTACCACTAAATTAAAAACTCAACTTAATGCATTTGTGTTTGCATTAAAAATAATTTTATGCTACTAGTTGCTAATAATACATCCCTAGAAAAGAACAAACGCAATTGCCGCCAATTTTTCGAAGTTGGCAAAAAATGTTTTGTATTCTTGTGTCTTCGGGAGCAGTCTAGTGCATTTCCCGTTCGGGCAGCGTAGGCATTTCCCAAAGACAAACAAATCTGAATGCGTCCACTGTAAATGACATTCTTGTATTTCGAACGGCTGCTCCTTGTCCAACGAGTAGCCTACAGATGGTGGGTTATACCAAATCTTTGTTGAAAAAAATCTTGGTGCATAATTTAGAATGAATTATTAGAAAAAAACATAGTTCTAACGGGTGGCGCAGAAATAAACGCACTCCGGTATTTTGCGTGTAACTTCGTGAGGATTCATCTTATCGACCCAACTTTTTTTTAAAAGATTCCCCGTTTGATCCTCTACAAAACCATGTATTTGTTTTTTCCAGATTATTTTACGAAAGTTTAGATTATCATGAAAAGTGAAGACCTCCAAAAATTACTACTTTCCAAGCATCAAAATGGACAAAGACCTTTCGAAATATTTCGTGATTTGAAAGGTGCAATCAGTCGACGTCCGGTTTTTACATGGTGCAAAATGATCGGCGATACCGGCTCTATCGATTTAGCTAAACCTCCGGGTCGGCCTCGTATTGTTCGAACAAAAAACATGATTCAAAAAGTTAAAAACCGTTTAAAACGAAAAAAACGCGTTTCAACTCGAAAATTAGCC